TACTTCTTAGAATGAAGGAGCAGCCAAAAATTTTGCAGATTAGAAGCTTGTTAGCGCTTTTGTTGCGATAACCTTCTAAGGCAAACATAATGATGAATTTTCAACCGGTAAGGCATTCGCAGAAAGAACATCAACCCAACTAACCATGCACTGCTATCCAACACTATTTATAAAGGGAGATCTGGTTAAATAGGTGTTATTGGTATCTATTTAACAGATCAAACCGGTGGCATCGGGTGAGTTCTCAATTCATAATGGATGGAGGTATGCATGAGGTGGGGTGCACTTGTCCCACCTTCGTGGGCATTGTCGCCGAACGGCGACATCATCAACTACTACAGATTCTTCATAGGCATCCTGACAACTAACTAGGCGACTAGCGCGCGATTATGGTCATGCCTTTGGCAGTCTATCCGCCGGTTGAACATAATGTGTAAGTGAACTCGCTCATTTGCTAGTTTCTTTTTCTTAAACTATTCACTTACCTCAAAGGTGAACAAGTAGTGAGTGTTGTACAGCTCGCGTCACGAATACACTGTAACGACCAACCACCAGATGATGGTGAAGTCGTTAATGAAGATGCCGCCACTGCCGCCTCCATTATTGGACGACGAGCTCGAACAGGATCTTCTGCTAATGCCAGCCTGGAAACAGACAAATGGACAGGAGATTGTATACGTGGTAGGGTGAGATTTAAATTCGAAAGCAAATAGTAACATATAAATAAGAGATATAAATCCTATAAGCCCCGGACAATTTCGAACTAAACTACCCGTTGGTATTTTTCTCTCAATGTCTTTTATTGTTTGTTAATTAAATGATTAATTATATTTTTGCTTGATTAGCCTCGAAATCTAAAGTGTAGAAGTAGGTAGTAGCTCTTCTCCCAATGCGAATGATTTTGAAGTAGCACCGCAAGGCAGCAAACCTTCACAAAGAATGAAGGTACAGATAGGAATGAGGCTAATTATATCAAGTTTATCACATCAAGGTATTTCTTATTTCCATCGTTATATTATGTTCAAATACTTGATAATATGTGATATCAGGAATTTGATTCAGTTTAGCCTTATTATCTTTATTGTGGTGAGGGAGGAGATAGTATAGCGTTGAGAGGCTTATTATAGGAAATCGTTGCACAACCTATTCCGATCAAAA